TCCCGCAAGTCATTCAAGCTCTGGGACCCTCTGGTTGCTCACCTGTAAAGCCTGGACAGGGACACTCCGGTTCAGGGCTGTTCTAAGTCAGAGTGCTCCTTCCCTGCTTGGTGCTTAGCAGATGCTCAAAAACTGGGGGCTCTTACCACCCCCCCAACCCCCCCACCCCCCGTCCAGCTCCTGCCTGGAACCCCAAGGAGATACTCCAACCCCCTCCTAATCCCCAGGCAGACTCAGCAGCCACTAGACGCCCACTCCCCTCCAGGCAGCTAGACCACCCTCAGTGCCCCCAAGGGTCCTGGCTGGCTGGGGGTGGATTCCCTGAGTGGCACCAAGCCCACTTGTCCCTGCACACCCCAGGAAACAGCCAGGGCGCCTCCTTGCAGCCCTGGGTCTCTCTCAGAGGCCACAGCAGCTGGACTGGCTGGTGACGGAGGCATGGCCTGGGGCTCTGCCGGCAGCCACTGGAGGGCAGGAGGGGACACGGGGCTGCGTTTGGATGGGCCCAGGGCGAGGGCCATGGCACAGAACAACTCCAGGGGGCGCCAGTCTGTGCCGTGCACAGCCTGGGGCCCATGTGGTAACCCTGGACATGGAGGAGGCACTGTGGGCTGTCCCTGGCCCTCCTTTTCCACAAGGCCAGCCTGGCTGCTGACCCTCCCCAGCCTGCCTGCTCCCCATACCCCATGCAGAAACCCTTTTGGGACTAGGAACACCTAGGTGGGGGGCAGCCTGGTGCTTCATGGCATCTTGTGAGCATCGCAATCTTGCTCCAGGGAATCTCATTCCAGGGGCAGAGGCAGGATGGGTGTGGCCCTCCAGACCAGTCCTGCCTGCAGGGCACGGGGAGGTCCCAGAGCCAATGGCAGTTAGAAGCTGCGGTTGCCTGGCGTGGGGGTGAGGCAGGAGGGAGTCTGTGGCTCTTCTCCAAGAACTCCTCCTTTTTTTTTTTAATTGTGGTCAAATACACATAACCTAAAATTTACTATCTTAACCATCCTTAAGTGTATAATTCAGTGGCATTAAGTACATTCACATTGTTGTCCAACCATCACCACCATCCATCTCCATAACTCTCCATCTTCCCAAACCAAAACTCTGTCCCCTTGAATACTCACTCCCCATCCCCTCCCCCAGCCCCTGGCACCCACCGTTCTACTTTCTGTCTCTGTGGATTTGACTCCTCTGGGGGCCTCATACAAGTGGAATCACACAGTATTTGTCATTCTGTGACTGGCCTAGTTCACTCAACACAACGTCCTCAAGGTCCATCCATGTTGTAGCGTGTGTCAGAATTTCCTTCCTTTTTAAGGATGAAAAATATTCCATTGTATGGAGGGACCACATTTTGTTTATCCTTTATCTGACGATGGACATTTGGGTTGTTTCCACCTTTTGGCTCTTGTGAATGATGCTGCTGTGAGCATGAGTGTGCAAGTATCTCTCTGAGACCCTGCTTTCAGTTCTTTTGGTTACGTACCCAGAAGTGGGATTGCTGGATCACATGGTAATTCTATTTTTAATTTTTGAGGAACCTCCATACTGTCTTCCGCAGCAGCCGCACCATTTGCATTCCCAACAAGAAGGCCTCCTCTGGCAGCAGGGAGCAAGGCTCCTGGAGCCGCCCTCACCCCCCATGGTGCCCTTGGCTTTACAGTCAGCATGGGAGGAGGTGGTGTTGGGAGTGTGGGTTATTCAGAATGGGTTATGGTCCCAAAGTCTTGAATTCTAGCATAATCATGCCCAACTAGCAGGTTTTGCCTGGAGCCCGCCACGTCCACAGCAAGGCACCTCACCTGAATGGCTGTTTCTAGGGGGACCTCTTCAATTCCAGACACCTCACCCCACCCCAACTAGCCACCCCTCAGACTGACTGAGCTCTCCACGGTGGGGAGCTGCAGAAACTCTCCCTCCTCCTTAAAGGGCCCAGCTGCTGGGGGCAGCCAAGGTGGAGGATCAGACCCCGCTACATTTCAGGCCATCAGCCCCCCCCTTCCCCTCCCCACTTCACAACCCCCTCCCCTAGGCCACGAGAGCCACTCACCTCCGATGGTGTGAGCTAGGAGCCCAGTGACTTTCCCACACTTTGGCCCCATTCACAGTGTTAAACGGCCCACAAAGGCCAGGCGTGTGCCTCGGAGGCCGCCCGAGCTGCCATCTGGCCCACACTCGGGGAGGGAGCGAGCCTTTCATCTGGCCCGCCTGGGATTTAACACCATTCATTTCATATTTCCCACAACTGAACACTGGATCAAAGCTGCTCCAGGCCCTGGGTGGGGGACAGCGAGGCGGGAGGGAAGGGGCAGCCCCCACAGCCCACCCGCCACCCTCACCTCCTCGGCAGGCCACCCTGGCCCACTGCGGGTGGGCAGGCAATTGGGGTGGGATGGGGGCTGAACCATGTCTCCCGGCACGTGTCTCATTTGGGCCGAGAGCTGGCTTCAGGGAGGGGGCCAGGGCAGGAGACAAGCCCCAGCCAACTGCACCCTCAAAACCTGGGGGGGGGCCAGCCCTGGGTGCTGCCCTCACAGCCCTGGGGCCCCCACTGCCAGCTGCCAGGCGGTCAGGGCACGCGTGGGCTGGAGCCTGACCAGCTGGTAGAGGCTGTGGCCAGGGCCAGGGTGGGCTTGGCGCTTGTCCCTTGTCCCTGCATTCTCCCAGCCCTTGGCTAAGCAGCTCCTCGGTGCTGGAACCCCAGCTGGCAGGGTATGAGCTATGAGGACACAGGTGACTAAGTCATCCCGCCCTCCCCACCCCAGCCCACCTCCCGGGAGCCCATTAGCAGGCATGCTGGCCGCCCAACACGAGCCCCACTTTGGCTGCAAAAATGCTCCTCTGAGCATCACCGGCTCCCACCTGCAGCCTGTGGGATCTGCCGGCCCACATTGACAGTACCAGCCACTGTCGGTGTCCAGGAGCAAAGGGGTGAGCTCCTGGCCTCTGCACACCCATCCCCAGCTTGCCCATGTGCCCTCTGCCCTTTTGCATCAAACAAGGGCCAGATACCTGTGGTAAGGTCCCATCTGCTCAGAGAGGAGCCCCAGCTCACGGTGAGGCTGCCCCAGCCCTCAGTGTCACTGCCTCCCACAGCCAGCCTGGGGCCTGTGTCCCCTTCAAGAGAGATGGGTGCAGGAGTGGGGGTGGGGCAGGAGGAGCAGGTACCAGAGGGTGAAACGAGCTGCCTTCCCTCCCGGCCAAAGTCACCTGAAGTTCCACCTGGGAGCGCCCCAGCCGAACCCATCCCAACGGGTGACCAGCTGGCCAGCAGGGCCCTCCTGTGCTGGCTCCAAGCCAAGCCTGCCCCAGCTGTCCTGACACCATCCTGCCTGCTTCCTGCATGGGCCCTCACCTGGTAACCAAAGGCTCCTTGTGCTGGGGGCTTCTGGAGCAGGTCCACCAAACAGGCCACTCACAGCTGTGCATCACTGCCAAGACCCTGAGGAGAGGGTCTGACTGGACCCTTGTTATGGCTCTGCAATTCCCAGCCATGCTCAGACGGCTGCTGTCTGGGGAACCGTGCCCCTGGATGCAAACTCTGGCTGAAGTGCCCTGATGCCAGCCACTGGCTTCCTGCGCAGAGGCCCTGCCTTCCCCTGGGACCCAGCTGGGTCCTGCCCAGCCCCTAGGAGGCAGCCTCTGCCCCACTCCCTCCGTCAGTCCCTACAGGATGCCTGGATTCCTGGCTGCAGATAATCAGAGGAAGGTGACAGTTCTGACCAGAAAGGGGCTCCCAGCAGGCCCTCCCCTAAGGGCCCAGTGTGAGGCTGATGGTCCCAGAGCAGCCGCTGGCCCTCAGCTGGGCTGGCCAGACACCAGTGTGTCCCTAAGGGCCAGTGTGAGCCCGCACAGCATTTTTGAGGGCTCCAGGGCTGCCCTGCCCTGATCCTCATGTCTGCCACCCAGCATCGCCCCCCCCCCCGACAAAATGCTGGAAGAAAGCAAACCCTACAAGTGCCCAACAGGCTGTGCAGGGGGCGGCATGTGCTCGTGCCCCCCCGCACGCCCCCGTCTGCATCACACATGAGCAGTGACCACGCGTCTGCATCAGGCACGCCTGGAGCCAAGGGCCATGGCTGGACCCCCAGCCAGATGGGGTGGGGCGGGGTGAGGCCCTGAGGGACACCTGCTGGTTCAAAGCACCCCAGATGCTACTGCCTGGTAAGCTGCTCCCCAGAGGATGGGGCACAGTGGCTCCTAGGGGGATTGCCTAGGTGGCAGCCTCCATGCTGGGCATTTCACGTACTCTGGCTCTCTGATGCTACCCAAGGCCCAGTCAGGTGACATGGCAGCCCATTTTCTAGCTCTGGAGAAGTCACATCTCCCAGCTGAGAGCCTGGGGACTTGCCACACAGGCCAGTAGTTCTGATTCTAAGAGCGTGGGCCCTTCTTCCACCTTCTACGTGTGCATAGGGAGATGGAGGCGCCTGTTCAGAAGAAGTGTGGCCTTCTCTGTTCCCCTTCCCCAGAGGACAGCAGGTCCCTGTCAGGGAGGGTGCCCATCCCCCTGGAAGCCATTGCCCCGCTTCATTCTAAAGCGGTTCCCTTATGTGCGCTTGTGGCCTCCGCCAGCCAGCAGCGGGGAGTCGCTGGGGAGGCGGGAGCAGAGGGGAGAGAAAGGGGGAGGGAAGGGGCGCTGCTCCTTCCTGCCCCCCCGTCCCCCTCCCCCGTCCGCCCCCCGTCCCCGCGGCCTGGGAAAAGACAGCATATTGAGGCGCGGGGCTCCCAGCATCAGGCCCCGGGATGCTAATGAGGGCGAGCGCGTTCCCACAGCCCGGACATTGTGCCGCGCGGCCCACCTGCTCCTCGGGGAGCGCCCATTGTGCCCGCGCCAATTCACAGGCAATTTAGCGTGCGCTAATGGGCCGGCGCCTTTGTGCGGCCCGCGCGCCATTGGCCGCCGAGTGTGGGAACGGCCGCGGAGCCCGGACCCCAGGCGCCAACCCGCCGCCCGCGCCTATATAGGGACCGGGGCCTGCCGGCCGGGACGCGCCTAGCCCGCCTGTCCGCTCCCTCCCTCCCTCCTCGCCGACTCGCCTCTCTCCGCGCCGGGCATGGCCCCCAGCACCGTGGCCGTGGAGCTGCTCAGCCCCAAAGAGAAAAACCGAGTAAGTGCGCAGCCGGCCCGCCTGGCGCGCGGTCCCCGCGGCCCCTGCGCCCTCGCGGCCCTCCTGACGCCCCTCCTCCCGCAGCTGCGGAAGCCCGTGGTGGAGAAGATGCGCCGCGACCGCATCAACAGCAGCATCGAGCAGCTGAAGCTGCTGCTGGAGCAGGAGTTCGCGCGGCACCAGCCCAACTCCAAGCTGGAGAAGGCCGACATCCTGGAGATGGCCGTCAGCTACCTGAAGCACAGCAAAGGTGAGACCAGCCCCCGCCCTGGCCTGCGCCCCAGCCCGGCCCCTGCCCCCGCTCACCGCCGCTCCGTCTCCCCGCAGCCTTCGCCGCCGCCGCCGGCCCCAAGAGCCTGCACCAGGACTACAGCGAGGGCTACTCGTGGTGCCTGCAGGAGGCGGTGCAGTTCCTCACGCTGCACGCGGCCAGCGACACGCAGAGGAAGCTGCTCTACC